TGTTAGGGTGAGAAAAGAGTGGAAAGTGAAAGGAAAAGTGTTCATCTTACAACAGGGAGGACAGATTTGAGCACAGTCGGTTTGTCATGAAGGATGCCTCTCATTAATGTGCATCAACAATTCCATCTCTGCATTGGTGCTGACGCAGAATTAAAAATATGTACTTGTATGCCATCAGGTCACGTGGCCAGAGAAGATGAGACTTGCCCTAACCTGGCAGCATGATGGTAGCGGAGCAGCGCTCTGGAGACGCAACAATCTTGCTGACTGCATAAAAAATGAGGCTGGGCAGCCGTGAGATCTCATCAAGCTTTGACCTTCACTTAGGCTGGCTGCATTGTCTTCTGTTCCATTTAGCAGTACTCTTAAAGAGCAGAGGCAGACAGTATTTCTATAGATCCAATTATACTCCCGACTAGAAACAAACCAAGGAAGGCAATCTGTAAGTATCAGCCTTCCCATCATATGCACACAGGGTTCCTATTACTTCAAAGATTGTGTTCTGGCTTTCCTATTTCATTTGCACTTGTTTCTTTGCCTCTTCCTAGTCTTTTTCTAATAGCCAGCAGACACGGATGAATCATATATTATTTGTAAATACAACTCGCTAACAACCCTACCCCAAAGAAGCAAAAATCGGAGAGCGCAATGTGAGTCTGAAAAGTGGTTGAGCAATTCCTCTCTACCCTGCCACTGCCGAAGGTTTAAAGATTTTGATAGTCTCATATTCACCCCGGTCCCTCAATTCCAATGGCAGAGCAGTGACACAATATGGTAGGCTGCCACAGAGCTACCAGGGCTCAACAGCAGGGAACGGGATGCGCCGAGCCCGAGACGCTCTGCCAGGACATGGTGTGTGTGGGAAGGGAAAAGCTGGTTTCTCGCCCACCTATGCGTCACGATGCCTGCTTCGAGCCAGTTCCGTCTGCCTTCCTATTTGTTCAGGCAAATAATATCCATTATTAAAAAAATTACTTTTCCTATATATGTGTGTCTATAAACGGCACACATCTGTCTATATGCGAGAAGACACGCTTACACACTTCCTCATCTCAGTGTTCCTGTCTCTGGTGCCCTTCCGTTCTCCCTTGGTATTCCCCCCGATACGCGTGGAAATTGTCAAACGGCAGTTAACACAACTGACCTAGATAGAGACTGAACTTCTAACTGCAGACACCAATTTTGGGGGGAATAGGGAAGAAAAAGAGAGGACAAGCACCAAGAGCTCCTCTCTCTGTATGCATGCTTCGTGCTGTGCAGTGTCAGCACTAGTGGAACCCGCTTGATTCCCCTTGGTGGGAGACAGCCAGAACAAACACATTGCATATGCTGGCCCATGCAGCGGTTAGTCCTGAGAAAGAGTATGCTTCTAACTACTCAAGTTCTACTTTTCACACAGTAGTCAATTTAAACATTATGTCTTTTCCTCCAGTGCCCATGCAGGAGGTAGGAAGGAAAAGTTCCTGAACTTTACACGTCAGCCTCTTAAAATAAATCCTCCGTTGACCACTGCCACTGAAGAGACTACTTAAAAAATGTCTCGTCAAGGAAATGCTTGCTTAAAGGCCATTATGCTGTTATGAATCAAAATTCCAGATGCTAAACAAATGCCAGTTAGCAGTATTAAAAAAACAGATGCCTTGTTCTGAGTGAGTACTGCTGCCTGGTGTTTGAAAGGAAAAAAATCCTGCACAGAACATGCTGGAAGCCATTGTCCTATTGAGAAGACAGCTTTTAAATAGGTTCTCCGAGAGACAAACTTAAAAAGCTGTAAAAGCAACTTATTATGAAAGTCTCAGCATAATTTTCCATCGGTATGGAAGAAGGTTAAGCTGTCCCTGCCTTAAGCTGCTTTCAGTTAGAAATCCAAGCGGTGAGTACGAGAGGTATGGCACAGAGTCAGGTCCACGGGAAGAATAACTGAGACAGCACTGCCCACAGCTGCCGAGAGCCCTCCAACCTCTGCTGTAGGTGTCAATGGGTGGAAAACCACAACGCAAGTTCTCATCTTATTAGTCTCCTTTTTATGTACAATAAATCCCTGACAAATAAAGATGACCTTACACACACCCAAATCAAAAAGCCATTATAGGCCCCCCTTACATCCTTTACTTGAAGCTCTTCTCAGACCACTGATCCAAGACTTCCAAAGCACCCAAGTCATCTCACCCATTTCTGAGAGCTGGGAAATTCTTAATATAAATCAAAGGAAGAAACGTGATTCCTCCCCATCTTATCACCCACCTATCGGATGTGTGCTAATCCACAAAGTTAACCGGGCATTTTATTTCAGTAGTTTTGGCTTGAGCTCATCCGTATTCTTAAGCAATCTGACTTCTAATTGCAGCTTGCTCTTTTCAACAGATCAGAAGTTGGCACATTTCAGAACAGGGTGATCTCAGCCCCCACCTGCACCACAACCTGCTAAGGAGTAACAGCGTATAAATGGATTATTCAGAGCAAAACCTAGAGAGCCAGAAGCCTTGTCCCTATGAGAATGGCAGGAGGGTGCATTACGCTCCTGGGTATACAGGTGGCCAGGCAGACAAAGAAGCATACCAGCTACACGTGGCACAAACAGCTTCCAGGTTTTTTGCTGGGTTATGCCCAAGAAAGGCAGCCATGAATTGCTTCCTGAGCCTATTTACCAGAGTCCTAAAAGCCCAATACACTGTCAGGGGAAATGAGAAACATTCCGCAAGGTTCTTGTTTTGAAAGCAAGCACGAGCTAAGAAGTATGAGAGAACTATTAGAGAAGAATTAGAGAAACATTAAAACATTACTTACAAGATAGGATCAACATTAAAAAAATTGTACAAAAATGAGGAACAAAGCAAAAGGGAGGCATATAAAATAAACAATACAGACAGCAGTCAAACACTTGTACAAAGCTTGCAGTTGTTAGACAAAGACGATGACAACGCATGTATACATCTAAAGGCTAGGGCAATTACTTATGGATGAAGACAAAGAAGACAGAGAATTTCTTATAAATGAAGAGGAGAATAGCTAGGACTTTTGAAGGCTCTCAGAGTTCAGAAATCCTCCTGGAACTGTGTGGACCACAGGCTCAGCATAAAAATTTCAGAACTTGACATAACAGAACATTCTTGGGACAACTTCACATGCAACTAGCCCAAGACCCTTTTTTCAACCCCAAATAGCACCCAGAACACAGGTCACTGAGGTGACAGAGTTCCTAGAATCACCGAATAGCTAAAGGGGGAAGGCAGCTCTGGAGATTGTCCAGTCCAACTCCCCCGCTCCAAGCAGGGTGAACAACAGCCAGATGCCTAGGACCATGTGCCCACTCTGTTTTTGAATGTATCTCCAAGGATGGAGACTCCACAATCTCTCCAGGCAACCTGTTCCAGTGTTTGATCACCCTCACAGTGAAAACAGGTTTTTCTTCTGCTCAAATGGAATTTCTTCTCTTGCAATTTGTGCTCGCTGCCTCTTGTCCAAAGAGCCTGGCTCCGTTGTCTTTATCCCATCCGTCAGGTATTTATACACATTGCTCAGATTTCTCTCTGAGCTTTCTCTTCTCAAGGCTAAGCAATATATTCTACTTTAACTGTTGCTTCAGGTATCATTTGAACTAGATGAAAATGTGATTCATGGTCTTTCAATAGACATTAGAAGTTCAAATTTTGTTCGGACAAGAAAACCTCTACAAAAGTAATATTCTTCACAATGAGGGCAGTGAAAGACCTGCCCAGGCTGTCCAGCAAGGCCGTGCAATCGGCACCCTTGGAGGTTTTCAACACCTGGCTGGAGACCTCCCTGAGCAACTGAATGTAAGTTGCTCCAGCTTTGAAGAGGGGGATAGGTCAGAGGTTTTCGGAGGTCCCTTCCAATCTACACTATTCTGTCACTCTGAAAAGGGACCAAGTACGGATACCCTGTATATTCACGGCTTCCTTGGTCTCTTTTTCAAACTCCACTAGACCATGAGCTTACATGTCGCTTTAAACACCATATATTCTATACACTCGCACCAACCTTAATCCTTTTATAATTTAAATAGCTCTCATTAAACCCTTGGATGTTTTTCTATTTTACTTTTAAAATGACACAATGTAGGATTTCAGAAAAACCCAAGTTTCACACATCTGGACCTAAAGTGAATGAGGAAGTGTGTTTAAAAGAGATGAGTGCTATATAAAGCAAAGCAAGAACACATACACGAAAGTACAGAAAAGCTACTCAAGTCCATACAGCATATACACCCCCCGCACATTCACCAGATAATTCTTCTCCTGCTTTTCCTCAGGTTTTAAAGTGGGCAGATTACTTGCCAAAAATACAGAGGACTATAAAAATATTTGAAATATTCAAGTTAGATACTTTTAAACCACAAACAAATTTTGTTAAAAAAGTTCCTGAGCACCTCATTTTAATTTGATGCGTTTGCCCTCAATCTAATAATAGAAAAGCCTTTGTGCTCTCGGATACACTGACCAAAGACTGACACAAGCAAGCAATCTGGACTCCAGCTGAAAAAGTCTTGTGCAGATTCACAGCCAATCTAACTCACAACAAAAACTGAAGAGCTAAAGAGCAATTAACCCACCTGCAGAAATGTCACCAGCTTCCGAGTAAACTATAAGCAATTTCAATTTTCGGTGTACTTCACTGGCATGAGGGAAAACTAACATGCTATTGCCAACCTAAAGTAAGTTTTTTCCTAATCAAAACTGAATATGTAATACAATCCCTGGTGGCAACTTCAAAAGCATTTATATAGGCCGCTGCCCACATTAACACTGATGCTTCACTATTTGCGACTTTAGATCAATCCAAAGAAAACAAGCAAGTTACCTATCTACCAGATATCTCACAGATAATACCTGACAGTTGATAGCAATACCTCTTGGTCAACTGGAAATAGTAACTAAATAGCCTTTTTTCTCACAGCTTGGTTACACACTGTGATATTTTTAATCTCCTCCTCCTATTCAACGAGAAAAATTCCTCCTTTGCAGGAAAGGCACACTTACTGGCACTTTGAAAGGAGAAGTATTCGAAACATCCATGGAGTTGGTCTTCTGCTCAGAGGTGCTGGTCCCGGAGATGCTCCGTCTGCGAGGAGATCTCTCTGCTGGGACCTCTAAGGAAGAGACAAAAAAAAAAAAAACGTGAATAGGCGCAGGGGGGTGGGGAATAGTCGGGTTTTATGCTCTGTAGGACAGGCGCCTCAGCAAAGTTTCAAGTGTGTTAGTAAACTGCTGAATTACACTCACCTATTTTTGTATATCTTACCTAATTACTAAATTACAATGGCATTTCCACTGACAGATTCAAGGTTGTGCATCTGACTTGGCTGTAGGCAACAGACAGTTAAAATAAAAAAATGCCGGTAAAGATCAATACCCAAACATATTTAGTATTATATTATTGTTTGTGAGAGAGTACGCAGAGAACTTTATATATATATATATATATATATATATATTTTAACATAATTCATGCAGTAATTAACAGCTAACTAAAACCAAGACCCAGGGAAGCTCAATTTTCGTCACGGCTGAACACAGTTTGACAAAGGTCAAAGTTCGGTCTTACATGATCACACTACTTGCTCAAACCATGCAACCAGCAGAAGAGCCATAACTGCCCAGGTAATATGACATATGTATCTCTGCAGATTAAAAAAATAGGTCAACTTCTCCTCATCCTGGCAATATGACCTTACTAAGATACGACTGTGGCTTCTTAAACCCATGCAGCCTGATCTGAAGAGCACAAATATTCATAAAAGACGCACTTACATCCTTTTCTAGTATAAATACTAGAATAATAGCATAATGAAGCATACACACTATCAAAAAATCTCTATGCAAACACATATACTGTAGTTCTATGCATTTTTAAATATAGCTAGATACACATACAGATACCTTTATCACAACTGCTGCCCATCTCCAGCACAATTGCCAGACTTAAAGGAATCCAGCTTCACAAAACATCCCCCAACATGGGGAGGAGAGAAGACAAAAATCACTTCCTAGCAGAAAGTCCATTGTTATCTTCTGAATCTTAAAGAAAAGGAGAAAGCCGCGACTCCAGACAGTGACACCTTGATTCCTGCCGTTTTCCTTTCCAGAGGCAGATGCAGCTTAAACTTCCATTTCTGGCCGCCTGGCCCTGGGGATCCGTGCTACTTCCACTTAAGAGCAAGCTGGGTCCCTCCGTTCCCCCTCCCTCCCCACAGCTCGCAGAGAGCAAGCCAGCGAGCCAGCAAGCGAAAAAGAAGCACACAGGACTGCAGCTATTCAATCAATTGCTCCGACTGCACATCCTCATTAGTTACTTTCAGGCTATTAACAGACGCCCAACTGCCGGCTTCCCTCCGCTACAGAAAATTTCACTGTGCATCCCGATTCACGGCAGCAAAAAAAAAGGTTTACAGAGCCAGCCAGCCAGCTGGTGCCACAAGAGCAGTGTTCTCCTCAAAATCACTGGCGAAAAAAAATGAGAAAAGCCTTCTTCGGGGATAACGTTACTCGTGATGCCTTTGCACACCGGATTTTGATTTCACCGGTTATAACACGTATCTCCCACGGATGCCTGAAGAACGACAAAATGAAGCACGCTGAACGAGAGGCTAAGAAATCTGGACCCTGCAAGTATTAGTGTCTCGCACTGGAGATATTTATCTTTTAAAAAACCTGACCGCTAACATTCAGCGTCTCGATCAGCTCGTAACCATCGACAGGGGAAGATGTGAAAACAAAGTCTACACACGGTGTAGCTACTACCACTGGAAAATGGGCAGGGCACGGCCGCTCGCTGCTGACCATGAGGACGATGCACAAGCCCCGTTCGCGCCGACCACATAAATCACGGTCTGTCAAAGCTTGCCATAACTGCGATAGAGCTGTACTGTGGTCTTTGGCTGATGAGCGGCATCGGGCGCGATCCCTCACAGCTAAGGAGGCATCGCCGGTTCCAGCACTGGAGGGTAAGTTTCCATCAGGGCACCTTTAGAGAACGAAGCGCTTGGAGCACGGCCAGTGCTCAACCCAGGGTTTTTGAACGCTGCTCCGGCCCCCGGTCTGAGGAGCCTTTGCGGAGGTTGCTGGTTTTATCTGAAGATGGGCTTTTTTTATACTGCCGGCCTCCTCCTCCTGCCTCGACCAAGGGAAACCCATTTTCTGCTGCACCTGTAAGTACTGCTCTCCCCAAGAGAGCTGTGTTACGTCAGATTTAAATAATTCCTTCTGCTGTTCCTGCTGTAAACGTAGTGACAGCTAATGGGAGTGATATATTCACTTGGAATGGGGGACTAAAGCGAGCACCTTTTATTTTACGTCAGATAGTAATGAGTAACGTAATAGGTTTGGCTTTCGCCACTTCTAGCACGGAGGAAATCACATCAAAGCTGCTTCAGTAATTTCACACAGTCTGTTGGCTTTGCTGAGTCATAAATGAACAGGGGCTCGAATTCCCTGCTATTTTCACCAACAGGTTCTGCAGGAGGGGCAGTTTTGGAAAAAGTTTAAGTTTAAACCAAATGGAGTTGAAAAGCTCCAACGAGGAACCTGCCTGGCTCTCCTTGCCTTCCCTCTTCCCCCAACATCCACCCAGCAGCAATTCAAGTCTCTGCAAATAAAACACTGAGATTTCATCGGTAAAATGAGTTTCTTCCATTCTCAGACCACCACGGAAGTGTACCAAATGGGGAAGGGAAAATTAAATATTCATAAGGTGCCTGCACTGAACTAAAAATAAAACTACCTTTCCCTCTCTTCTCCTTGCAAAACCCAAGAGCGAACAAACAACATGCTCAGTCCCCAGGAAAAAGAAGACCCAGATATAGCAAAACCGTCGAGATGCGTTAACTTGAAATCAAAAGCTGAATCAACCTGCTCTCATGCCTGTAGAACAGTATTTTTGCTGAGTCGTGTAAAAAAAGCTATGCTGTCACCACCAGGCAAAAAGGAGACAGTTCCCTTCCCTGCTCCGCAAGTACTGCTAGAGGCTACTCTTGCATAATCTTCACCTGCTGTAGAAATCAATGCACCTCTCATCGGCTTAGTATTAAATTACAATTGCTTTCTGCATTGCTCACTCTCGTGGACCAAGACTACAGATAAATCACATTGTTTCTATGGATAAACAATCGGAAACCCTTTTCATCCACTCTCAATTTCTGGGAAGAAAAAAAAAAAAAAAGGAAGAAAAATCTTCCCCTTTTCAACCTTAAAAAAAAATAATCTGTCGAACAAATAAGTTGCAAATGGGACACTTTTAATTTATCACCTCACATATTGGTGATATGTAGGAATATTTATGTAAGTAAATATTTATGCAAATGAATATTTACACGCTACATGGAAATCATCAGTCACAAATTAGCTAAGCCAATTACTCAGCAATGGCAGATGCCTCTGAAGAGGGAACTGCCCAAGGATGCAATGAAGGTAGGTCTCTCCTCACATCTTCACATTGCGCCACCCTCTGGCCTCTGCTACACCAAAGCTTGTTTTGTTGGCCAGAAGGCAGGTTTGTGTAAGACAGGTACCACTTACTACTATGAGTAGTGGTGACGACTGACCTCCTTTGAAGGCAACTGTCTTGGCCACAGCGGCGTAGCCTCAATGACCTCCAGTCAGGATGTGGCTCTCGGACTTGATCTGAGTTTTCTACTGCTGGGTGCTTTGGCTGCTTGAAATCCAAAACCTCACTGTTGGGGGAACTTGTATTCTGCTGTGAAGAGCTTTTTGTCAGGGTGGGAGCAGTAGAGATGAAACAAACTTCCCAGCTTTGCAGGACAGTGCTTGCTACCCTATCTCCATTTTCCTGAATTAGAAATAGATTGGAGAAGGGCAGGAAGAACAACCAGGAACGAAGAACATCCTCAGGGGTTAGCGTGAAAACAATTACGTTACTGAACTTGCAAATAAGGTCACAGAAACAAAGATTACAGGGGTGTCCGTGATTTTGCAAAGGGCGATGCAATGACACTACTGCACTGTCTCGGTGGGACTTGTGTTAAGACTGTGGCACCTTCCAGACCAGGCTTGTGTCCTCCCAGGACCGACAAGAACATCTCCAGACCCGAGTTCCTGCTCATGAAGCCCAGGAGGTGACTCTAAAGCAGTCCCAAAGACCTGCCTGGAGATGCAGAAAAGGGGTAAGCACGCTGGCAAGCACAGCTCTTGTCTGCCATTGCTCGTAAGGGGCTGGCACTGGTCTCTGTCACAGTGAACAACAGATCAGACCATCTACTCCAGGCTGGCAGGCGCTACATTTAGATGACAAAGTTCTCAGCCTGGCTGTGTTCTGCAGACCAGCCTTTTATCAGCTGTGGGTTTTAGCAGTTCATAACAACACATGGCTTAGCACTGACCAATTATCTGCCTCAACATCTTTCACTCTGATGTGCAAGAAAGGTCTGGATTTGTGACAGGCTACATTTACCAGCCACTGGAAAATAAAAATAAATCGTTCTATAGACAAAAAATTAATTAATAATTCTTTCCCAAGGCATAGATTCGGGGGGGGGAAGAAAAAAATCCCTTCTTCAAATCCATCCTCCAAGTATCTTTATTCGATATCTTTGTGTTGTCTTTACTAGGAAGGGGGCTGACTACTGATGTATATTATCTACTGGTTAGGAAAATAAAAGAAAGATATAATAAGATTGGGACTGCCTTTTGTTTTGTCTGCACACATGCTGATATGACGCTACCTTGATCTGCGACTAGAGAGAATAGAGAATATGATTCATAAAAAGAATCAATTCATTCTGCCTCTCAAGTCTAGCTTAATTACAGGCATTTGTGAAACACAAACCCAGTTCAATACCAGCAATTACCCACCCAGCACCCAGCGTTCCCACAGGCCGCCTCTCAGGTGCACTCACATTAGAATATCCCCCGCTGAAACAAAACCAAACCCCACCCAAAGATCTTCCCCCCCTTTGTACAGCTGCCTTGGCACTCCCCAGGAGAAGATGGTAATTGCTGTTGGTCAGAGCATTAGCTGAGCAATCAAGCAATCCTGGAGTTAGCCTCTTGTCCAAAGGCAGGATCAATACGCCACACATACCATACCCCTTTTATTAAGGAAAATTTGTTGTCATTTTATATGTTGTAGCACT